GTAAAAAAAATCATAGCACGAAAATGTTTAAAAAAAAAATCGGTGTCAAAAAACGCTGAGGGAAATTTGAAGATTATACAGTGTTTTTTTTACTTTTTAAATAATCGAAGTTTTCAAAATAATTAAAACAAGTGGCCAGTGTCTTATACATAAAACCTTTTTTTCGCACAACTTTCTGAGTTGCCTGGTAGTTATCAAATATTATATTCTAGTATAAAAGTTATTTACAGTTTTATTATTTTGTCAGATTTATTAGTTTTTATTTTTGTTTTCATTACGTTTGTTTGTTAATTAATGTGACGCCATCCTATTTATTATATTAGGGTGCCCACGATACAGGTTTCTCCTAGTGTGGGACCCAAAGTCAATGCTACAGTATTGTTACGTTTAGTCAAAATTAAAAAAAAACACCTTTTATTATCACGTTTATGTATCTACGCTTGATTTAAATTTTATAGAATTTAATTAGTTAATGTGTTCATGATGTATCCACTTATTGGAAATAAAATTATTATCATTATGTTACGGGTTCCCCGTACAATAAGAAAAAAGTTAAAAATAAAAGGAAATGAACATTCTTACATTTAAGAACGCTGCACTACAAGTGTTATTTGAGGTTTTGCGATTTTTTACGTAGTACAAGTAAGGTACTGAGGGGAAATCTCATGGCCCAGTAGTGAATGCGTTCAACCTGTTATTGTAAAAATACGCAACTTTTTTATATGGCCGGTCATAGGATGGGTCACCAAAACCTTAATATCTCAAGCTCCTTCGTGCTTAGTTAAGACACGATAAGCTATTGGTCCTGGCTGCTTCTGCAGTCGTTCACCCCTACTCACCGCACTGGGCTCGCGTGGTGTCTCATGACCCGTTCCCTCTATGCACATATTAATGTAACAGGGAAAACGTTGAAAATCTGTGGATACAAAGTTTAAGAGCGAAGCCACAACATTGTGCTGCGATGTCGCATCACAAAAACAATGTGGCATCAAAGGACAATGGCGAATTCCCATACAATTTTTTGTTGAATTTTTTTCTTGCGTCTATAAATGAATTGCATGTTAAATTATAGAGTTTACATTCTTGATTTGATTCACCTTATTTCTTATATTATAGGCAGTCTGGATTTATAGATATTCTACTTTGAAGTTTTGGAGGTTATGTCCTACCAAGTAATGCAAAAACAAATTATAAAAGTATCTCCAAGAGTATTTTTATATCAAAATAAAAAATACGTGGAACGAAACTATAGAAGTATACCGGTCCTGAAGATTAGTGACGAAAAAAAAAATGTTTTTTAACAATGTATGATCAGTTGGCTTTCTGTCTTTTTTTCTTTCTTTGGCGTAGGTACTGACCAACCGCGTCAAAATACTTATTATCAGACAAGAGTTATTGAGTTCAAATACAATGTCTGTGCTGTAAGAAGTACTTAACAATTTGAAAATGCCCACTGCAATAATAAAGTATAAAATAGGATTTCTAATAATGTACTAATGGGATATTAATTAAATATGCAACACTTTTTATATATATTTTATTCCACATCGTTGATCACAATATCGTAGATAGTAGATACAATGAAATATAATCCACAGTATGGGACAGAATCGTGTCCAAAATCCACAGCAAAATATCAGATTCGGAAGTCTTAGGCAAGCACTACTCAACAGTCGCAGAGAAAGATTTCGAAAGTCCAAATACAGTCCAAGTCACATAAAAAAACAAATCTCAGAAAAACACAATACGCCGATTGAAATCTTTGCAATATGCATGCACCTAAGCACAAACAATGTTATATAATGATAACATTATCAACAACAATTCGATGACAAGCATGACAGTGACAGTTATAGTTTTTTTTTCGTTAGAATTGTCGCCATACTCTTTTTGTATTGTGGAGATTATTTAATATGGTTTCAGTATAATATTGAAAAATAATGTTTCCCGATATTTTTGATAGATAATTAAATACAGTTCAAGCGTAAAGCGATGCAAAACATACGAACAACATATTTAAAGTTGATTTCATCACTAAAATCACTTAAAATGAATCGCTTAAAAAGCCATCATGGCCAAGCCACAATAAAAATAAAAAATAAATAGTCAATTGTGTTTCCCTTTTTCTAAATTATTAATTCCAGACTTAGACAACCCTCCTCAATTGTTTAATAAATCTTTTGATATTATTTTATTAACATTTCTGATAATGACATCTATAGACGCTATAGATTTACTTCAACAAATATTTCGCCATTGTCCTTTTGGATGAAAACAAAATTGGATGCGACTACGCAACGCAAAAAACGTCGTCGTCGAAAACAACGTCGTAGATTTCTGCGGTGTGACGCGGCAACGCCGTGTTTGGCCTCGCCCTATAAGAGACATCAATTTACTTTTTCAGTTTAAGTTAAGTTGATGCTTATTTGTTTACTAGCTGTGCCCCGCGGTGTTATCTGCGGTTTTTTAGGGATATTTACCTGTAGAATAATGTAGCCTATGTGTTAATCCAGGTTGTCAGCTAACTTCATACTAAATTTTATTAAAATCGCTCTAGCCGTTTAGACGTGAAGAAGTAACAAACTCACAAACTTGCGCCTTTATAATATTAGTGTGATTATACTTTTACATCGATCTTTTATAAAATAGAGTTTTAAACGGGTATAGAGCGCGATTTATAAAATATTTACACTATTCTTAACGACTTGAATCATTTTCAGGCTCCACGCTATTAATCAAATTTGATGTGAACAAAACACTGCTTAACTGGTCCAACCTTATTTTTCGTTTATGAATAAGTGAGAAAATATCTACAGGTTGATTTAGTAGGAGCGGCTAAGTAACAAGTGATATTTCAGCTTTCGCCGACAAAAACAACAAGTTTGTATTCGTAAAACCAAATGTTTTCTGATGATTAATTACTGCCAGACGCAATTTTGTGTCCTAAATTTTACGTAGAAGGTTTTTTTAAAACTCGTAATGGTTCAGATGTATGTGGAGTCAGTTTTTCAGCCTGACTCGATGAACGTGTGTACCTAATGTGTGCGATACTTCTCTTAAGGAGTTTCTTGAATCATACAAGAAAGTTTCGAGGCTTGATTATGCTCGGAAACTTATTCGGTCGTAAATTTACACTTGCTTTGAATCATATTATGTAACGTAATTTATTCCTTCCTTTTTGAAGTAGTTAAGATAATAAGTGTATTTTTTTGGCTTTAATTCAATTTACCGTTAATTAGCTGACCCGGCGAACTTCGTACCGCCTTACATTCAATGAAAGTACTTATCTTTAATATTTTACCTTAATTGAAGTAACTGTTTTTCGACTGAAATAAAACAAATTCAATGAAAATTTAATAGTATAAATGGAATAACGTGTACTTCAAAGACGTGTAAGCTAAAATTATAACGGGGTTAATTGGTTACCAGGGTTTTGCCGAATATTCTCCAAACACAGACGCCCTTTAAACTCTCAGTACCTTAAGACTTCTTGTGAAGTAATGTTTCTTTATTTGTGGAAAGTTAAACCGAATGGAGCAAAATTGATGTCATGTTGATAGGACTATGATAATGATATAACTATGATAATGTAACTATAAAATTTACATACATTAGATATTAATTTAATAAGTATTTAGTTTTACTAGTAATTAAAATATAATGAAATAACTAAAATAAATATAATAATAACATATATAACTAAAATACATTATTAAAAGAAGTCCCTCTAGGCTAGGTTCCAAAGATACTGGCAGCATTCCCCCTTTGAATAGCTAAACTAATTCTTATCCGAGGTAGCTGCCAGCTCTTCGGTCTCCTGTGATGTCGACCAACCTTTTTGCTATTTCCTTATGAAGTCTTACAGCGCTAGGACCCCGCGGACTCCGCGCTCGACACCGACGAGACCCTTGGGAAAAAATCATATTCGGAGCCTAGACCCCTGTATTTGCATGCCTTAGCTTTTTCAGCCACTTCGCAAGCCGCACCAGCTCTGTTGTTGGTTCCATGTAGATGGAAAGGGGCCAGCGTATCTGAACAGGTTGCATCCCATACTAGCACCCGGCCCATCTTCCATGGAATCAAACTCACACCGTCCGGTTTTTTGCCATCGTCTCTTGTAATACCAGTCGGCTCAAGTAGACTTGGCACGTTGACGGCGGCAAGGGACCGGCGTATGATATCGTTAAGTGCAGCATGTCTCGAGAAGCGGCCTGCACTTTTTTGGCATGACAGTCCGTGATGTCCTAGCTAATAATAATGTGATAATGTTACATTGTGTTGAAGTTATAACGCTGTGTGTTTTGGACCCAGTTTTCAGGGAATACAAAAACTTGTTAGGTTCAGGACACGCAAATATTATAGACTCGCGACACAGCGACCAACACACCACCGCCATCTAACTTTGTTTTTTTAGAACAAACACGATCCCTACGGTATACAATGTAACGTGAGTCTATAAATTCGCCATTACAAATGCTAGAGTTAAGCCAGATTTCGGTAAAAACAATTACTTTAAAGTCATTTAGAAGGATGTTTTTCAAAACATCATTGGTCTTAGTTCTAATACCACGAATATTTTGATAATAGATATCGAACTTAAGAATGATACACCATATCTATTTTGAAACCATAGCAACATGGATATCATTTGATCAACTTCAAATCTTCAGTGTTACGAATAAGTAAAAATGTGCCAGACTCGTCCTTGTGAACAAATATACGACCGTTACGTACCCACGTAAACTTGTAGCTTAGTTCTTTAGCTTTAAGGCGCGCAGCAGCATGCAGAGATTTGTTCGTAGGTGATAAATGTTCACTCACATAGACTGGTCTTCGAGCATCACCAAATCCCAGGTGTTGAGAACTAAGTTTATCATCTGGGTTCTTTTTGTTGAAGACAGTGACGCAGGCAAGAACTGTATCTCGATGTCGGGGGGTACGAAACTTAGCAATTACTGTACGGGGCCTATCGCTATCCTTATTCAATTTAGAAACCCGTGTCACATGGAGTATATCTTCTTCAGCAATGGAGCAATGACCTTTGCAAGTTGCTCAATCGTCTGGACCAAGTTCTCAGTTTTGTGCTCAGGGATCCCATTTACTTCAATATTACACTCCCTCGTGTTTTGTTCTAGCATATTGAGTCGGTTGGATACATCGGCTAATGTAGACTTCAGTTTCCAATTATCCCCCTGAAGTTCATCTATCACATGAATTTTCTCCTCCAAACTAGTCTTCATCTCCTCGTATTTTTGATTGTAGAAAGTCATAGAGTCCTTTAATTCGTTTACTTGGTCGTTTAAAACTTTTAGCTGCACAGATACCAAGTCTCGTATTGAAGCGTGAAGTGTATCAGATAAAATGACACGCAGCCTTTCTTCTGTTAAGAAATCATTGTGACGTGGAAAATCTTTCTGCTCGCGTCTCGCTCGTATAGTGACATTATCGGCTTGCAACGGAGACGTCAGGTTATAAGATTCCGGTGGCGAAGCTACGCATTTCTCACCAACAGCAGTTTGCGACGAGGGCACCTCTGTGACAATATTATCAGCAGCAGTTGGTTCGGAACGCGTTGCCTGGTGAATCGGTGTGTTTAGATTCCCTGTTTTGGGCTGTTTGCAACTACATTCAGGACACTTCCAGTTACATTTCCGCTCCTGATTCAAAGCATAAAAGCTATTAAAACGCTGGATCCTTACTTTAGCACACTCAATGTCATATCTTTTTCACATGTCATACATTCCAAGAATTCCTTATTTTTTAATATGGCAGGAGCCCGTACATTTGCCATAATTTGGAGCCATTATTGAACACGGTGGTCGTGTATAGTTAAATTACCCGTGAATGTTGAAATATTTTGCCTATGGCAACACGGGTTAACTGTCAATATCAATATGACAATTTTTTTCGAGTTTGGCAAATCAATTTATTGTTTGATGCAGGTAGTTTGGTTTATTCTTCTTGACAGACCCAGAACAAATTGATATGAGGGTAGAAAAATCACACTTAGCTTTTCGTATTTCCACGATTATAGCTAGCGCATGTTGACTGCAGCGCGGTGGGCCGAGGCGGGAGATGTTGTAGGTAGCATATTGGTAAGTAGTTGTTTATCGTCGTACCACGCTGTGCCGCGTCGTTCGAATCTTAGTGTGGCCGCACACGGGCCACCGACCACAACCACAAAACGCAGCCACCGGCATATTTCTTGTAGTTTTCATACATTTTATATGGACTCGCCACACACGGTATGCCGGTGGCCGCCACACGCTACAAATCGTCGTTGATCGCTTCTTGTGGCCCGCACCGGCCACTTAATGCGCCGATACAAAACGCCGCCACACGTCACTCGCGTGATTCCCCACCCCTCTCTCCCTTAACTTAGTCGGCCGCTGTCGCGCGCTTCAGCCACTTTAGTAGCCGCTTCTAGCTTCTCGTGGCGGCGTTTATGGTTGTGGTCGGTGGCCCGTGTGCGGTGACACTTAGATTTAACGACGCCGGATAATCTTGATGTATTTTTTTTATTACATACACATTTGATAATATATTCTTAACTCATATTTCACTATTCTACTATGCCATATATATTGCTTCAAATTATTTATTGTTGTAAATCTTTATATATATAATTCTTCTGTGAGTGTGTATGTCACTGAACTTCTCTTAAACGACTGGACCGATTTTGATGAAATTTTTTGTGTGTGTTCAAGGGCAAGGTTCAATTTTTTTAGGGCGGTACGAAGTTCGCTGGGTCAGCTAGTATGTATGTATAATCAAAGTATGCACTTCATTATATAAGTACGTAAATATATAAAAAATATATTTATAAAATACACACACATACTACACATGACTTAAAATATGTAAAAAGTAAATCGTATTATTAATATTTTTGATATTTTATGTTTTTACTATGACTTTGTCTAATTACTATAGTAGTTACTACGGATGTTTGTAACTACATTACTTATTATTTTAATCCATAATATTTCTAAACAATAGTATTTAAAATCATTTATTCTTTATTTTTCATAAAGGACTTCTTGTTACAAACAAATGGATCAATATCACTAAACATTGTATTGTTATTCAATTGTATTGTATTCGTGAATGAGTCTAGTAATTACAGCATTTTTACTATACCATGTGGTGTGTCGCAATATCGGTTTCGTTTGAAAGGTCTTTAAGAGACTTTATCAAATATATACAATAGCGTTAATAAACGGGTTTACCCGTAAATGGAGATAAATTTTAGAACTTTTTTTTTACTGTTTAGTTATTTTTTTAAAGGCAGTCGTGTTTTTTAAACTCAAAAACTCAAACTCAAACTCATTTATTCAGTCTAGGCTGTTACAAGCTCTTGTGAAAGTCAAACGCTACGCCATCGGTTCGTAAATCTACGGCGGGAGACCTTGTACTGAGAAGAACTGATAAGAAACTCAGCAAGGGCTATTTTTTTCTCCCTGTTTTGTTTCAAACAGTGTCGTTCATTTAAAGATGGCATCAAAAATTTAAAACATGTATTGATATCAACTTCCGTCACATTAATATTATTAATTAACCAGAGTTAAGTATAGCTAGGTACTACTTTTAAATTTAGAAGTGGCGTTTAAACAATTTTCAACCAAATCAGCAAAGTGAAACGATTTAGTCTGTTATATTAAGCCCAAGGTGACTTATCATTTATGAAATCTTTAACAGTATAGTAACCTTTCATAAGGAGACATGTTTTTATACACACTTTAAACTTATTGAAAGGTAAATTAATTATTTCTTTTGGTATTTTATTATAGTAACATATACCTTGACCCACAAATGAACCAAGAACCTTTTGGAGTCTCAACGGTGGCAATTTGAGTTTATCTTTATTTCTGGTATTGAAATTATGTACATCATCGCGCCTCGTATATAAATTTATGTTCTAACGCACAAACAATATACAATTGTAAATGTATTGAGAGGCAACAGTCATTATACCTATTTCTTTAAATTTATCCCTTAGAGAAGTTCGAGATCCCAAGCGATAAACGCGTGTCGACATCTGTAAGCCGTCTTGCTTTTTATAGATTGCATAAACAGCGGAACTAAGTTTACCGGCAAGTGTTGTAATGTGAGGGTTCCATTGAAGTTTGTGGTCTAGTGATACGCCTAAGAAAACGGTTGTATCGACTAAAATTAGTAATTAAGTAATTTTCACCATTTAGAATTATATCCCCCATTTCAGCATGCTTTACATTCGGTTAAGTCTAAGATTATTAGAAGAGAACCAGTGAAGTACCTAAGAAAGTGCATTGTTTACATCGTCATAATTAGTTTTACACCTGTCAACGTTAAAAATTAGCGAGGTGTCATCTGCAAACATAACAATTTCACATTTTTTTCTACAAAGAAAGGTAAATCATTAATGTAAATTAAAAAAAGAAATGGACCTAAAATTGAACCCTGAGGAACGCCCATTTTCACATGAGATCCGGCAGATTTTGCACCGTTAATATCAACTATTTGTGTCCTTTCTGTTAAATATGATTGCACTAATTTTTGTGCGGAATCTTTTATGCCGTAATGATTTAATTTCCGTAACAAAGTTTGATGATTAACGCAATCAAAGGCTTTAGATAAATCGCAGAAAACCCCTAGAGCATTCTGCGACTTTTCCCAAGCATTAAATATATATTTTAGCATAGTGGCACCAGCATCAGTTGTGGAACGGTTTTTAGTGAAACCGTACTGCGCTCTGTGTAAAAGTTTATTAATGTTAAAATGAGTCAACAATTGTTCTAACATTATTTTTTCAAAGATTTTACTCAATGCTGGTAATATAGATATTGGCCTATAGTTACTAGAATCTTTACAATTTCCAGACTTCAAATAAAGGTATAATTTTACTGTATTTCATAAGATCAGAGAATACTCCCCGATCTATACATGAATTAAAAATATCAGCTAGGTAAGGGGCTGTAGAATGTATAATATTATTTATGACTTTGACAGATATACCCCATAAATCAGATGCATTTTTCATTTTTAATGAATGGAAAACTTTAATTATTTGAAAAAACCTGACGTGCTTGAAATTAAGCAATAAACCACAAGGAGGTACATATTTTTGTAACAGAGCTGTAGCAGTATCAGACGATGAGTCCAAGTTGGAAGTAGTTTCTAATGGTATATTCATAAAGAATTTATCGAAAATATCTGCGCCCTCATGGTTCGATTTTACGAGATTATTATTGATTTTAAAAACCATGCTACTTTCACGAGGCTTATACTTGGCACTTTCGCGCTTAATTACATCCCAAGTGGTCTTTATTTTATTATTAGATTTTTTAATTTTATCCCTAATAAAAATTGACTTTGCAGTATTACATATGCTTTTAAACAATTTGGAATATTTTGTAACATAGTTAATAAACTCAGGATCCTGGTTATATTATTTGATTCTATATAGCTCATACAGTCTTGTTCTACTCTTATATATACCACTTGTCGCCCAGACACAGAACTGCAACCTCTGTGTACATTTAATGGTTTTCGATCTGAACGTATTTTGAAGTTCATTATTTATTAAATCAAAAAGATTTTTGTACAAAATATCCGGATCATCATGCGTCCAAGGCATTAAAGGAAGTTTATCGCTAATGTTATTTTTAAAACTATTTACGCGCTCATTTTTTATAGGTCTACCCTCTATTATGTTCGGCTCAGTACTGACATTGAAACTGTATGTTGTCTTTAAATCGAGATGATCGGAAGTAATATCACTAAAGACTGATTTTTCAATTGCGTCCAACTATGAAAAAAAGTTGTCTAAACAAGTGGCTGAGTGAGATGTTACTCTGGTTGGTTCAGTAAACTGGAAATTTAAATTAAAACATTAAACAAGGTAATTAGCCGAAGACTTAAAGAGCTATTTTCAAGTAGATTGACATTAAAATCACCACATGCTATTACAGATTTATTTTTTAATTTATTTAGAGAGTCCTCCATGACTGATTCAAATGTACCAAAGTTTCCTGAGGGGGGCCTTACTTTACCAACTCTACACACGACAGCTCAACATGGCGTTCCACTGAAAGACTTACAATGTCCTTTCTTTCCTTACATTTCACATGATCTTTTACAAAAATTAAAGACCCACCATGAATAGCTGTTGTGCGTACAAATGCACTGCATAGTTGAAAATTGTTTAAGCAAAATGACATTTCATGTTGTTGCAGCCAGTGTTCAGTTATGCACATGATATGAGTTTCATGACTTTTAGCTACTAATTCTAACTCTAAATCTTTGCCGGTCAAGCCCTGGATATTTTGGTGAATAATATTGACACAATGGGGCTTAGCTTTTGTTATACGCTTCAGTTTAAATCTAAGGGGTTTATTGTAGAACTACAATTTATCAAAAGATTTGAATTAGTAGAAGTACTAATGTCAGTTTTAAAAAAAAAATATTTACAATTTGTAAATTAAAAGCTAACAAATTAGCTAATTGTGTCTGAGATTTTTTTGAAAGATACATAGTATCTGAAGTCAGTTTAAAATTACTAATAAATTTATTAATGTCAAAAAACAAAATGACGTCACTATGACGATTAATCAGATTATACAAGTAGGTATTTAAATCAAAAGTGCACTTATTTTCATCCCATGTCAAGTTTTTAGCATAAGGGAAAGCACTGATGAATTATTTGCAGTTAGTTTCACCTTGTAATTTTAATAACACATTAAAAGAATTCAGTATGTCCCTTTTTCTAATGTCTGAGCTATCACCACATAAAATGATTAAGTTGGTTAAACTATCTACCTTTTGCGTTGCAGCATTATTTACAATTTCTTTAAATGATTGCTCAGGAAAGCTATTTAACATTTGGTTATTTATTAATGAGTCATAGCGCTCAGCATTATAATTACACAACTCCACCAACTCTGAAGCAGATTTGATGTGCTCATCAATCTGCCTCTGAGCATTGAAGTATTTATTTTCTAATAATCCCATTGATTCATGCAATTCAATTATTTAAAATTGCAATTCTTTAGTATCCCGGTCATACAATCCGACAAAGGGGCCTACCATCTATTGGGATTGCTATGGCTTAAGCTATGGCTTATGATTTAATTTCGTCAATTCTGACCGCCGAAGGTTTTCAAATGCCTCGCGCTCTTTTTTTTGTATAGTTAATAACATTATTGAAAAAACATGAGCGTGAGGTATTTGCAACCTTCGGCGATCAGAAATAAGAAATTAAAATCATAAGCTATAGCTATAGCCACCCCCGATAGGCGGTAGGCCACCCGGGCTGATGACAGACAGACCGTGCGACGCACGTATGGTGAAGGACCGATACAACCGACGCTTGTCTATAAGAAATAACGAATTATGTATAAAGAAATCGAGGTTGTATTTAAGAGCAAAGGTAGGGCAAAGCGGATTTTGCGCTTGAATAGAAGCACCCATCTGGGTGAGTAACCTCCACCTTACAGAAGACTAAGCACAGCAAAATAACATTTTGGTGGTGTTGTGTTTCTGTCGATGAGTAAGGTCCAGGGCTCCAAGGGGTATCGTGGTAGAATCCCTAAACGGGGACCCGCTTCGCTTTTAGCAGTGGAGAAGGTATTCGCAGGACTTTTTTTAGCGGATATTTTGCTGTAAAGTGTCCGTAAGAGTTGTGGGGTCCTCGGTGGGCAGCCACTGTGGGGCCCGTAAGACTTGCGGGAGCCAGGTGTGAGGTCCGTTCGGCGGTGTGACTCTTTTGCCTGCGTTAACAAAAAAAAAGGACATGCAACGGTGAGAGTGATATTTTTGGTATCGCAAGCGTCTATATGATGTAGTGGCCGCTTACCATCAGGCGGGTCATATGCTTGTTTCTTTATATTAAATTTAGTACATATTAGTTTACAAATATTTAGAATACGTTTGCTATGATAACGTTGCCACGTTACGTTACATTCGCTTACCCACATTTTCATAGGCAAAGGAGACAAATGTGAGAATGGTCAGACATTATAATGTCAGCTGTCTATTGCAATTCCGCGCGCCTGTCTGTCGACTTCTGTAAAGCCGCATACCAAGTTACATTCAACAAGCATCACGAAAAATCAGCAAATCACAAAATAGTAACGGGCAGACAGGATACGCTGTGGATCGTCATGTGGTACCCTTGGTGCTGTAGTAACCACTTACCATTAGGTGGATTGCCTGTTCGTTTGCCCCCCTCAGGTTCGAGTCGTCTAGAGGCTCCAGACGGAGAGGAGACTCCCCCTGTGGGGAGATGCCACCCGCCTGGAATACCTTTAGAGGCACTCGCCAATTCTCGACTTGAGGTCCACCTAGGATCTCGCCGTCCCCAAACCCGGTGATGCTGTAAAGGTCATCTGCGACCAACAGCATACTCACCCAAAAAAAAAAAGAAGTTCGTTTGCCTGCATAAACTTTAAATAAACCGGCCAAGTGCGTGTCGTGCCACGCGCAGTGTAGGATTCCGTAGTTGTCTGTCGTTACCACAATATATTTGAGTAGCAGTCTTTATTTTCTATATCGGAAAAAAAAACAAATTCTCAATCTCAACTAAATAGACTACTTCAAAGTCAAACTGCGTCTCAAACTCGAACTCAATTGGCTTTTTTATACGAATGATAATCCTCAAATATTTTTAAGTGCTTAAATAAGTCACCTAAACTACGTAAAGATAGCGCGATTCAGAAATCGTTGCCGTAACCGTTACAAAAATTGAACGACTATTACTCCTGAACTAACAAATCTCTCTTAACTGTTATAATTTTTCTTAAAAGTATATGTAAAGCACTATTATCACGAATTTTTCCAGGTTACCCAGCCAATAATTAAGCTTTTAGAATGGGGGGACGCCCTACTCTAATAAAAATTGACACTTTAAAGTTCAATATTTCTATGTAATTACAATTCATTGCAAGAAGAACGATGCCTAACGTTATTTTCAGTCTAACTTTCAGTTTTGACCCATGCCTGCAAATAGGTTGCAAACACGCCAATGGATAAATGTGGCGCTAAATTTAAATACACGCCATGTTGGCATAATAACAATTTTCATTGACGTCACAGCTTTAAACCGGTACACTCGTTCTTGGTTCGTAAGTCGTCCACATAAAGTTTATATCTGATTAACAGCGTTTTAGGTATCCTATTTTTTTAATTACACCAGCTGAGGTGAACTTCGGTTTTCGTCCTTATTTGGAACGTCAATCGCATTACTTTATCATGCTGTTTGAGAAAGTAAAATAGTCTTTCTTTTCTCTACAATATCACAAGTTTCAGTATTTATTATATTTTAGCAAGTTTGGCAAATAAAACAAGCTGAATCATTTATTATATTTTAGCAAGTTTGGCGAATAAAACAAGCTGTATATTGGATTAAGTTTGTCTGCAGGCGAACACTAAATAACGTTAAAGATACCTATCAATCAATAAAATATGAAAAAATATCTAGTCTATAGAGTGATAGTTTGAAGACTCGAGACACAAGAAAATAAAGACATCAATCAAATTTTTTCTTTCGAAAAAAGTATAGATATAGAAACTATTTTCATTTATAATTTCTACTTATATTATGTACTAACTAGCTGTGCCCCGCGGTGTTTTCGCGGTTTATTAGAAACATACACACTCACAAACTTTCGCCTTTATAATATTAGTATGATGAAATAATTTCTATTATGATTATTCTATCATTTAATGTAATTCGAGGTTAGATAAAATACATAAAATATGTCTAGTTTCTGAAAGTTGATAGAAAGGACCTTTGTTTTTTCGGAGATATTTTTTTTTATGTTAAAAGGGTACACCCTGACCCAATCCCCTACCCCGTGGAGTCCTGGAAAATTAATCACCGACATCTACACAACACCACCAAAAGGTAGTGTTATTTTTACTGTCATCTTAAGGTTCATTCTGAGTGCGGCCGTTAGTTGTGTTGTATTAATGTTGGCGAGTAAGCTAACAGGGTAAACGGCATGGCTAAACCAAAGACAGCGTTAGTTAGGTTAGGTTAGGTTAGAAGGGTGATCATTGACGATGTGACATCAAACAATGGAACCAATCGACACTCACACCCGAGACCAGAACACAGAACAGAATCGACACAGAACCAAGTTTTGGTCAAGTTATGAGCATTTGCTCATACATAACTGTGGTGCGTCTGCTGCACCCACAAGGCCCTCCTAACCTCTTTCTGTGTTCTGTAAGTTAGACCTTTTTTCCTGAGGCACTCTTAAGTCTATAACAAAATATACCAAACATTACAAATTCAAAATGTTTCATTTCAGGCTTTGCAATGACGTGATGTCGAAGAGGAATCACACTTTGAAACCGCGTGTGGTGCTACCTGAGAACTATGTAAAAGGTATTTACAATAAAATTATATTTATAAAGGTTATACGTAACACAAATTCACTCCAGCAGATTTTTGATGTGGTAACTTTTTATGGGATGGAAAACCGCTTCCCTACGTTACGCGTTATGGCGCCAGTCTGGCTTCCCTTTGCCGCAAAAGAAGATAGATGCCACAGCCTGCCCACGTACCAGAGGGGTGTCCCCAGACCCACCCCACTCCCTTACCTATCAATCCCCATTATCACCCACCAATCCCTTATTATCACCCACCAATCCCCTTATCACCCTCGAATCCCTTTCATCTTCCAATCCCCCATTTCACCCTCGAATAGATTTTCAGCCTCGAATTCCTTTTTACTGTCGAATGCCCTTTACACTCTCCAATCCCCTTTTCACCCTTCAATCCCCTTTTCACCTACCAATCTCCTGTGCTCATTTAGTTTAACAACTTTCTGATGTAGATACTGCTAGGACTGTTTACTTTGGCATTATTTCTGGGGAACTCTTTCTGAATAATCATCATCAGCAAGTATTAGTCAGAGTCTCCAACAGGGGGAACATCAATAGAATGTTCCCCCTGTTGGGGGAACAGGTCTTTTCATGTACAGAGTAAGGAGAACAGGAGGCCTACTCTATTTCAACAAAAAACGAAATTTCGCTCGTTCCTTACTCTGTTTCATGTTAATTTCGAAAATTCGCTCGTCCGAAAAAAGTTTGGAAATTAAATTCTCCAAGCCTACTCCAATCACAAAACTTTCGATCGACAAGTTGACTTTGACAGATATTTCGATATTTGTTCGAAGTATTAAAATCAAATTGACAAAATGTTATGGATTTTTCTTCAAATTAAGCCTAAAATGACTGCTAGAGTATTTCTAATCAAGGCTGCTTAGAGAGAGGAACATTTTTTAGCGTGTAAAATTAACAAGTAAACATTTTTTTATCAACTATTGTATTTTCAATACTTCAAAGTATTAATAAACGACAAATGTAGATGAACGTACAATGGATTGCATCATTTCTACAAATTAGTCGGCTAAAACTGTTAAAGAAGGTTTTTTTAATGTTGTCGTAAAGCAATATTGTGTCAAAGTAAAAAACGTAGTTAATCTTATAAGTGGAGATAAAAGAACTCACACACATGACTCATTCCATTCGTTCACGAAAATTGTTTGTGATTCCGTTATGTGCGTGTTCGAAAATGAAATAGAGTAGTCACTGGCGAAATTTCGTTTAAATTTGATCGTTGCCGAAATTTCGTTGCGGAGAAAGAGGGTAGAGGTCCAGTCCATGGTCCACCACACGGGCCGAATTTAGAATGATGAGTGCTAACGACATGCAGCCGGGACCAACGCACGGCTTAAAAGGCGGCGGTGCCTTCCGAAGCACGGAGAAGTTTGAGATAGGTAATCTTTTGGTCACTAGTCCTAGGCCCATTGCTAAAGTTGCTTACCTTTTACGATTGCAGACTGAAAACTCTAATCATTGCCTAATAATGTCTCCACTGATGGGACACAGGCCTTCCCTATGAATGGAATACGGAGATTATAGGTGGATGCTAACGTGTTCATATACAGCCGGGACCAACGGCTTAACGTGCCTTCCGAAGCACGGAGAAATTCGAGATAATAAATTTTTGGTCACCCATCAAGTGACCGACCACCGAAAGTTGTTTCACTTCCACGATCTTAGTCCGATCGCGATAACCACCCGCGTCATCAAGCTCCTCTTTCATGGCTCTATAGAACTCCTCAATTATATTACTCGAAAATTACTTTACTGTAATGATTTTTTATAAGAACACACTGTTAAAGAAAGCTGGCATTCTTTATTATTTTATGGCTTTGTAGCAGGTGTAAAAGCTTTTAATAAACAAATCTACGAAATCTTTAGCACGTACACTAACATTCCGATTAAGTATCGGCCTTAAAAATTTAAAGACTGTAATGTTTGCACTTACATATAAAGTAAGTAAATAGTTCGAGTTGGGGATAGTATAGGTAAATGCCCCTAATCCCAAGGTCACGGAGATCTGGAGGCCTACTCTTTTTCAACGAAAAACGAAATTTCGATCAAAAATTTGCACGTTCCTTACTCTTTTTCTTTTTCATTTCAAAAATTCGATCGTCCGAAAATAGTTTGACAATTAAATTCTCCAAGCCTGCTCTAATTCACAAAATTTTCGAACGAAAAGTTGAATTTCACAGAGAATTGTTCGAAATTTCAACCTCAAATTAAAGAAATGAAAAGTGGTACCTTTTTATGTTCGCTTTGGACTTTTGTTTAAATTAAACCTTAAATGACTGCTAGAGCATTTTCAATCAAGGCTGCTCAGCGTAAAGAACATTTTTTAACATGTCAAATTTACAAATACACCAAATTTTTATTAATATTGTATTTCCAATACTTTAAAGTATTAAATGACATATTTAGATTGACATACAATGGATTTCATCAACTCTAGAAATTAGTCGGCTAACATTGTCAAAGAAGGTTATTAAAATTTCTACAAACATTTTTTCGTAAAGTAATATTGTATTTAAGTAAAACAGAGAATCTAAAAAGTGGAGATCAAAAGAACTCACAAACATGACTCATTCCATTCGTTCACGAAAATTATTTGTGGTTTCGAACATTATTGCGTGTTCGAATATGAAATAGAGTAGAGTCACTGGCGAATTTTTTAAAAATCGTTCGTTACCGAAATTTCGTTTCGGAGAAAGAGAGTAGAGCTCCAGTGCTTTGAAGTCATTAGTCTTTTATAACGTATCACGTCCCACAAGGTTGTACGAATCTGACAGTTATTGCACATCTTCGCTAAAGTTTCGGAATATGACACGACATGATCGCTGGTGCGGTGGCTACTAGGCGACAAGTTAATATGATTGGATATCACAGACGTGCTATTCTATAATCGAACTCGTCGTTGATCTCGCAGATGAGAATGCCTAGAAATCGACATCTACCTACACGTTACTGCAATAATAAATGGTACTGTAACGTCCGTTACGTTACATCCTCCTTGTTTGAGTAAACTCTTTGTTCATGTAATGCCTACGGCTGGCAGTTATGTTAAAAAGGTAATGTCATGATTTTTAAATATTTGAAATTGGGAATCTTCTGTCGTTTTATAGAAGATTCCATGAGATAGACTTCAGGCACCAAACCATGCATTAATAAGATTAAGCTCATATATTATATTCGCCTGATTTAAAATATAAAAATATCAAATCAAAGTTGTTTCAATAAATTGCTTCGCTCCCAGGGCCTACCCCTTCAGGGTAGATCGCCGCAGTACTGTCAAGATAATATCATCATAATATCTTGCCGATTCTGCTCAGTACAAGGTATCCCGCCATATTTTTACGAACCGATGGCATTGAGAGAGAATTGAAGTTCACAGCTTGTAACAGTCTAGACTGAATGAATTTTGATTTTTTGTACTTTTTATTTTTAAATAAATATTTAATTGAACACCACACATTTTTATTAATCAATTATTTGCGCCGAGGTAAAATGTTAAATATTGATTTGATTAAATATTATGGCTAAGTAAATTAAAGGTAAGTAAAAAGATACACAAATTTGGATTGAGTGCCTTATTTTTTTTTTATATTTTTAATAATCGCAGAATGTACAAATACCTACTTGGATTAACAATCTTATGAAAAATAATTTAGTTTGCCGAACTCTTGCGTAAATTGGTTTTCCCAAGGGTCTGCAATATTCCCTCCGAGCCTCATTATGACAAGCTTGTATTGATTATTTAGAGTTTCGTCTCTCTTTTACATATTTTTAAAATAAATATAAGAATTGTGTAATGTGAACAAATTACAACACTATTGCAAGGTCAACCTTCGATTATTTTACTATACTCGTAGTTAATAACTTAAACAGAAGTGTTAATATTAAATCCAGCTAAGTGAGCATCAGCTTTGCTCACTAAGGGTTCCGTACCATTAACATAACAAAAAACGCAGTACCATACTAATAGTCACAAGTATTAGTGACAATGCCGAATAAGCGCTTGATTTTTTAATCCGTTATGTGCTAGCCTAGCCTCAAAGTAAGCACTGTAGGCGTGTGTTATGGGTTACTAGGATATACTATACCTAAAGAAGTATATTTTATAGAAAAACATATTAAACATTCATGACTGGAGTGCAAATGCATTGATTTATGATATATTGTGATAGCAGCCAGTCACGTGCAAATTCTCAAATTTTAGGTCTCCAGTTATTTTCCTTCAAAAGATAGAATCTAATGATATGACAGACAGTAGGCATATCAGCAGGGTTTCATATGTTGCCCTTTGACTATGAAACCAAGAACATTAAATTGGTCTATCATACATTTTAATTTATTCACCTAGTAGGTGTTCATATAATGTAAAATCTTAGATAATTGATTGAATAATGAGTATCATGATCCTTGCAGAAATGCGGCCCCCGGCACGCAAAGGTCAGCCTGTCATCGTTGAATTCAGTATATACGTCGTGGATGTCAACTCCATCAACGTTGAAGACATGGACTTCAGGTAACAACTTAGAAAATAGTCTTAAAGAAAAATTTACTAGAAAAAAATTAAATCGAACTTGAATCTGCGCCTTTCTGTATTCGCGTCCGTTCTGATACTTGGACCCAGTGATTTTTTTCTAGTTCAATTTACTTTAGATCTATAAATGTAGCAGTTTAATATAGTAAACTATTAAATAAGTATTCATATTTTCAGAATAGCGACCTCATGTCTTAAGCTAGAACGTGAAAATTTAAATTTAAATCCAATCCTAAATTTTAACTTGAGCTGTATATCTTATTTTCAGAGCTCTAGCTTGAAGTTTCGCGGGCAGCAGACAAAAGTATACTGTGTTACATATTTGTGCAACATTAATGTTTTATAAAGACCTAATTCATAAACACAAAATTAAAAATAAAACTCATTAAAGTACCGCTGGCTGTATCTTAAAATAACTTTTTAATGATTACAGTACATTTTATTTTTTTTAATTTAATCTATTAGGCCATGATATAAAGCTGAATGTAAAAAAAATAAAAGGAGGCGCAAGCATTCGTAGTTTGAAGTTAATTTCCCGCGCTTCCCAAAGAATTTTCTTTCTTTGCCGGTCGTGTTTTGATTTCAGGATTTCAGAAAAGTTTTGAAATACTTTCTATTTACTTAGCGACTTTGTTTAATTTGAATTGTTCAAATTTGCATATAATTTAGGTGACAAAACACTCGGATTAACCTATTCCTTCTTATATGACAACCACATAAACTACAATTAATAATCAGATTTTACTTTATCTAAGCCTGCTTCTAAGTATATTCTTGAAATTCAATTCCTTCCTTCAGCAATAGGAAATAGGGAGATGATAATGAATAAGCACGTCAGTACCTTTAAAAAAATCCAAACTAGCCTTTCTAATATACTTTTAATATAACCCTGTGAAAGTAGTCGATGCCTAGTATCTAGCTATACATTGATCACCCAGGGGAGAAAGTGACCTATTACCAACGAGGGTGTAGTTTGAGGGCTGAGGCACAATCGAGAGCCTTTTTACACCCGATTTGGGAATAGTACTTACTTTCGAGGGATACCATTGTAGTTTATACTATACCTACGAGGAAGTAAAAACCAAATTTTTTAATTTCTTATTTCTTCAATTAAAGGAGATTGCTCAAATTGGCCCACATGCACAAAAAATATTGACATACACGGTAATTCTTGGCGTAATTTATAATTTAATTTAAAGTCATTAGATTTCAACGGACACCTTTGTATAATATATTTGCTTTAAAAAGGACTTTTAATTTTACCGGTTTGGAAAACATACGAATCATTTTAAATGGCTATGGGTGTACTAACATTCAGCCAAAGACTGATCGAAGTTGTTTATATAACATAAAAACAAATCTATTTTGTAAAGATCGATAAAATATTTTTTTTTTCTTACACTGTGGTATTAATATCCACAACTATATTATCATTTTCACTAGATGCAAATGTGCACAGACAATTATTATAGATGGTAGGCGACATCATAAAGTCTATTGCCATACATTTTTCGCCAAACACCTCCATAAACACATTATAATCTGTATATATGTTAGACCTTTAGGTTTCTGTTTTTTTTTTGGGCGGGAACTCCAAAAAGAGCGCGCGTACATTTTAAGTATTTATTAATTTTATTTTCAATTTTAGTTATTTTTGCTTAAAACTAAGTGTAAATAGCATAATTTAAAAGTAGTGACCCTTATAAATGGAGGGAAACGAGAGGGGCGGGGAGAATTGTCTCTAACAATGATGTACTTATGGCTCTTGTACAGACATTGGTGGAGCTAGGCAATAAGGGTGATAATTCACCTACTACGGTGAAAACAATTAAGGATATCTTAATTAAAAATCTAAAATAATGGATCTAGGTCCTACACAGTCTAAGTTACGTATTGCTCAGTATAATATTCAAAGTGCCAATAGTAAAAAACCCCTGCTTATTCAATTCTTGAAACAACAAAACATTGATATATGCCTACTTAACGAAAGTGGTTCAAAGATAACACATTTAAAATACCAGGTTACAACATTTATAATAAAAATTCAAACAATAGTCATAATGGTGTTGCAATATTAATTAAACCATACCTCAAGTACAATATTATTAACACTAGATTCTATGAGGACCTTCAAACTGCTGCTCTGTATATATCAACATTAAGTGGTAATTTGACTGTTCTCTGTGTTTATTGTCCACCTACTAGTCGTCATATCAGATTAAATAGATTACATAATATAATTAATAATCTTCCGAAACCAATATTTGTAAGTGGTGACTTTAATGCTCACCATATAGCGTTTGGTTGTTTATCTAGTAAGAGTCGAGGCCACAGCTTATTTAATATTATTGATGACTTAGATTTATGTATTTTGAACGATGGTAGATTTACAACTGTCAACCAACCCAGACGAAATCCTTCTGCTATTGATGTTAGCTTCATCAGTACTAGTCTTGCATTTATGTGTGAATGGTCTGTACATGACAATGCCATAGCAAGTTATCATTATCCTACAATAACAGAAATATCCTTAACTATTGATAAATATCACATTGGATCACCAGTAGACAGATTTTTATATAAAAAGGCAGATTGGAATAAATACAACACTCTTTCCAGAACAGTTTTCAATAATTTTATCATAAATTCTGATGACCCTATATCAACTTATAGTGTTTTCTGCTCTTGTTTGGATACATTAAAAAACTATGACAATACCTAAGCTTACAAAATCAAACAGTTTCAATAGCAGATTGCCAACACCCTGGTGGAATGATATTTGTGAACAAAGTGTCATTGAATCTTATAATGCTTTAAAATTATATAGAAATGTACCATCCATAGAGAATTATATTAACTATAAAAGAAAGGACGCACAGAAAAAAAGAACAATAGCAGAGCAAAAAAAAAATTGGTTGGAATAATCTAACTAATACTTTCAGTAGAACAACACCCATTAGTAAGATTTGGAATTTACTTAAAATGTTTAAAGGTGTTAAAACTGACAATAGGACATGTAGAGACGAATTCATTCCCACCTTTTTGGATAACTTAACAAATAATAGTAATTTAAGTGAGACTAGCAACCTGAATATTTATTTTAACTTAAACAATGACAATCAAAATTCTAAATTTTTACTTGAACCCTTTACATGGTCAGAATTCACAATAAGTTTACAATATAGACGTAATACAACACCTGGTATGGATGACTACCCTTATCTATTGATTAAAAATTGGGATGAATAGCACAAAAAATATTTCTAGATATCCTCAACCTACTTTGGCTTAACAATTATATCCCACTGGCATGGAAAACACAGTGTGTTATTCCAATACTCAAACCAGACAAAGCACCAGAACTTGCTAGCTCATATAGACCAATTGCCTTATCTTCATGTCTTGGCAAAATTTTTGAAACGATGTTAAAAGTCCGTCTTGACTGGTATGTTGAGGCTAATCACATCATTCCTAATGTCCAGTATGGCTTTAGACGAGGGCGAAGCTGTGTTGATAGTTTCATCTCTTTGATATCTGATCTGAAACATGGGAAGGAAAATAATTTACATACTGTCTGTATATTCCTTGGTGTTGAAGGTGCCTTTGACAGTATAGATCCGGGTATACTTGTGAAAGTTATGTCAGGGCTAGGAATATCAGGACAACTCTGCAAATGGATATATAACTTCTTGAATGAAAGGACAGTGTATGTAAAACACAATTATATACTATATGGTCCAAAATCTGCCTCGAAAGGCACAATGAAAGGTGCTGCCTTATCTCCTTTATTGTATAATATTTACACTAGTGAAATTTGCAACTTCACAGACAACGTAAATAATAGCGTAAATATTTTACAATTTGCTGATGACTACAATTTACAAGTAGCAATAGACAGTATTAATGTAGCTTTATCCTAATTTTTTTATTATTATAAAATGACATTTTACATTTAAAAATTAACCCATCCAAGAGCAACGTTATGATATTCAGCAAGGATACACCAACCTATAATATTTTGGAGATATTTAGCCGCTGCTCGCCACTAGCGGAACGGAGTAATTAAACGACGATACGTCAACTTATCAGCAATATATTTGGAAAATATTAACAATTATAAAATACAATTTGTATGGACGAAATTTTCTTCTCAAGTCTCCTTTTTGAATGACAATTAAAAATTCAACAGAAAATATCAAAAAGAACATAATTATAAAACTTAATTTCTAATGTGCCAGTGCCTACGGAATGTCCATAGACACTGGCTGTATGGCGACATGGACCAACTTTTAAGCGGTGCAAAGTCGCCACACCACCCCCCTACGGAGTAAAGAAAAGCAAGGTACAAGAAAACAAAGAAACAAAAATAAACTACTACTTAAGTAACAAAATCATCAAATTTCTTAAACCTAACGTGTCTTCCTGTCCGGGTTTTATAGGGGTTAGTGGAGGTGGAAGCATGTCCTGTGTCTGTAGCTTTCGGAGACGGTTGGACAGGAACTTGCAGCTGACGTGCCGGTTGTGCGGCAGCACTAGGATGTGAGTGACCCTTGCAGTCGTCGGGTTCGGCGTCGATGTGAGCAGGCTTGACCCGGTCGAGGCTGACGGTGGCTTCTCTCCCATTGACAAGAATTGTAATAACCTTGTCCTTCTTCTCCAAAACGCGATGTGGCCCAGAGTACGGTGGTTGCAGAGATCTTCGGCAAGTATCGTCGCGCAAGAACACGTGAGTTACCGTGGCCATGTCTTTAAAGACGAAAGACGCAGGCTTGGTGTGACGTGATGCGGAAATTGGCCGAATGCTGTCCATCTCGAGTCTTAATTGGGACACAAAATCTGCAAAGTCTGCAGAGTTCGCTGGAGTTGGAGGAGGAATGAGAAATTCACCAGGGAGGTGTAGTGTCTCACCATATACCAGTTCGGCAGACGAAGACTTGATGTCTTCTTTGAACGCCGTCCGCATGCCGAGCAAAACAAGTGGG